CTCCGCTCCGGGCACGCGGCGTCTGTCTCGGTAAGCGGCTCACATGCTTTGAGGAGCGGGGAAGAAATTCCTTCTTCCAAGACCTGATGTGCCAGGATGCAGGGGGCTCAGTGCTGGTGGGGACCAGAGGGACCCCAAGACCCAGATCCCTACCCGAGGCTCAGGATGCACTCCGTGCCCCCTGAGCCACACCCTTGATGGTGGTGGGCCCAGGACTACTCCACTCCCTGCACTGTGGGGCACGTGACTGTGACAGCCATCTTGCCACGGGCCGGTGGGCAGGAGAGAAAGGCAAACCAACCCCACTTTCTGGAAGGAGGAGCTGACGAGGGCATGCTGAGGAAAAGGAAAGCAGATGGCCTCTGGCATTCCTGGGGAGTCCCACAGGGTCCCCCCTGTTACAGAGGCACGGATGTCCCAGACCCTGTGAGCAACGCCCTCCCCTTCCTCGGCACCCAGGAACCTCCTGACTTGGTCTGCTTTGGTGCAGGGCTGAGTCCGACGGGCAGGAAAGCACGCGTTACTCAGAGAAGGGAAGTGCTGACGAGCTCACGTGTTTGCTGGGTGGCGGCTTTGGTCTCCAGACGGGACGAGCCCCGTGACCCTTCCCTGGGGACACTGCGTTTCTTGCCTCGCCCCCCGGAGGGGTCACCTTTCCCAACATCGTTTGGCCGGGACCCAGGCTCCAGACACCACACACAACCCAGGCAGCGCTCGGCTCTGTCCTGGTGGAGCTGCGCTCTCTCTGGGGGCCCCACCGGTATAGAAAACGTGGAGGTCCCGTGAGGTCACTGCCGCTCCGCACACTTGTTGCTTCCTGTTCATTTTCCCTCCTCACTGGTCTCGGAGGCCTCTAGGCCACCTCCTGCCCCAGAAGTGGTAAGAATAAATATTCAAGTGGTGGCAGCAGTGACCCACTTAGGAGCAGATGCCACAGCCCCGGGGCACAGCGGCTGAATGAACAGAGGCCATGGCGGCGAGGGAAACATCTTGGGAAGGGGGCTCCACTCCGGCCCCTCTGGAGTGGCCAGGGAAAGTCTGCGGCACCGCCCAGGAGAGAGGGAGGCAGGCAGGACATGCAAGCACACACCACCCACCGGACGGACGCCCGGGCCCTCTGCAGAGGTCAGGCTCTGAATCTGTGTGGCACCGGCTGCCGCCCTGTGTCAACAGGGCAAGAGCACTGGGCTGAGTCAGGAGAGGAGCCCCCGTCCGCGTCCGCTCTGTGGCCCCAGGGAAGCTGTCTCTGAGTCTGTCTGCGCCACTGTAGAATGGGATGGCGCCACGTCCCGGACCCCGTGGCTGGGAGGCCTGCACGGGAGATGTGAAAGTCACTGGTGACAGGCTGCACGCACGGCAGACAGCGCTTGGTGGGGAGGAGCTGTCAGAGCCTGGCACGGAGCTGCCGGCCGCCGCCTCGCTCCCTTCTCCAGCGCTCACAAGAAGGGTACCGTCTCCTTGAGTGGTACTGTTGGGGGAAGCCGACTGCTCTGCGAAGGGGAAGACGTACTGCTCCACTGATGTGAGCTGACGGGGCCAGTGTCGCTGCGCGGGACAGAGCTGAGACGGAATCAGAACACGAGCTTGGGGGAGGAGAGGAAACAGGGCCCGGATGGAGCCCTCCTGTGCTACCTGGAGCCCGAATCTCGGACTGAGCCGCTCCTCTGGGAAGAGAGCCTGGCAGACAGAGCTCTCCTGTCCCTACTTCTTCAGGGAGCCGTCTGCACGGTCTGGGAACGGAGTCCTTGGTGCAGGGGGTGCTGGCTCCTCTGCCAGGCAGCTGCATCTCTCCCCCCAGTCACCTGTGCCGTGGAGGCGGAGCTACAGCTCCTAAGTTCAAGCCAGGGTGACCTTGTGCTGTCCCAAGGCGGCCCACGAGGGGCCCCCCGCTCCACATGGCCAGTTGGTGGCCGGGTCTCCAGCCAGGATAAGCTCCGCTCTGCCATCTGTGCCCCTGGCTCTACGTGGCCGGCACCTGCTAGGTGACCCAGTGGCACCAGTCCACCTGTAAGTGGCCGATGCTGCTCACTCTTCCAAGTGGCCAGGAGCTTCCAGCACTCGGGAGTCCCCACTGCCCCCCAGGGTTTCCCTGTGACACTCTCTAGGAGGAAGGACACCCTGGCAAATGTGGCGAAGAAAGGCTGGGAGGCTGCAGAACGCGGAAGGGCAACAGGGCAGTGGGTAGCACCCACGGCCCCAGGGGAGAACAACGTGCTGCCCAGCACCATGGCTAGCCTGAGTCCCAGGGAGAGCAGATTTCGGTACAACCCGACACCTTCACCGCTGGCCTCTAGCCCCTCTAGCCCTTCTGTACAGGAAGGAACGAAATGCCACAGAAGCTGAGTAGAAAGAATCCCAAATGCTCGCCAGCCTGGATTCAAGGCTGGAGCAGCCGCTGGGTCAGCCTAGAGCCCACGTGGGGCAGCAAGTGAGTCACAGGACCCCCTCTCCACAGCACCCTGGCCTCCCCAGGAAGGAGGGAGAATCTGACTCATACGGGCTGCACCGGGCATCGCAGGATGTGGACAGGGTCTCACAAGGCGTGAGGCGGGGATGAGGAATTTTCCATTTGTGAAGGTCAAGGCTTGGGGAGGCGACTGGTGGCTGATGGTAGAGAAAGCTTTTGCGTGTGTGTGTGTTTGTGTGTGTGCGAGCACACCCTGGAGAAGTTAACATCCCGAATATTCTCCTCCTGTGTGTGCTTCTCAGATCACTCCCAGGGGGCTTTGGGAAAATAAACCACAACACAGACACCTGTGTCCTGGTCCCCCAGAATGGCAGGAAGAAGTGGATGCTACTGGGCCCTTGAGATGCAAGGCCAGGTATGGGCATCGTCCCTGAGACTAAGAGGTGATGTGTGCACAGGGACAGGAACGCTCCGACCATCACCCTCCAACCTGCTTGCCGTTCTGCTGAACATCTGGGGGAACCAAATGTCTGCCACCACAATCAGAAACAGGCAGTGGTGGCAGGAGGCACAGGGGAAGCCTCTAGAAGGGACGGGCAATCTTCTGAACGCCTGGGGCCAGGGGAGGATGGCCCTGCTCTCTGGGATCTGCAGTGGCCCCTCGGTGGCATGCAGCTCCCTGACCTGCGTGAGGACACAGAGGGAGGTGCCCTGCAGGTGGGACCTGGGAGGGAAAGATGCTGCTGTCCTCGCGTGAGGGCTCAGAACTCACAGGGGGAAAGCTGCACCTGCCCCCTCCCCACCAGCTGCCCTGCGCCTCCCAGCTCACCCAGGGTGCGGAGGGGCTGCCGAGTGTTGAGAGCGCCGGGGCCAAGGGCCAGGGGGCTCTGCGGTTCTGTGGAGCCCTAGACCCTGGCAGGCACATGCTGAGCTGTCAGGAACTTCTGAGATGGCGCCCAGGCCTGTCTGCCTCAGCTCCCGCCAAACCAGGTAGAGGAGCACACGTAAACCAAGAGCCTTCAGTGGGAACCAAAGCCCCCCGGTGGACTGGAGTGCGGGAACAGGGGTGGCATCGGCCCCCCCAGAGGACACGGGCCCCCGAGGGGCAGCCCCCGCTTCCTGTCTCGGGAGCCGGTGCCAGCGGCGCTGGTCACGGCTCTGAGAGAGGAGTCATCCGGGAGAGACGGGCAGTGATTAGTGCCCGTCCACCTTCCTGAAGTTGGGTCAGAGGGTCACGGAGATGCAGGGAGCGAGGCGTCTGTCACTTGAAAGCTTCGTAGGAATGAGTGAAGGGCCAATTGAACAAGGCAATCATAATGCTCTGAATAATTTACCGGGCAAATGGCAGCAGCGGACAGCCCCAGCGCTTGGGCTCTGCTTGGGGCCAGGGTGTGCCAGGCAGGGTCTGCCCGGACTGCAGCGGCCTCCCCAGCACCCACCTGAGCAGCTCTGCCCTGGAGCCTCCCGGCCGCCTGCCTCGTCACTTCCTCCTGCCCAGCCACACTACTTAGTCATCCTTTTACCACTTTCACCCAACACAGGGACTGGAATGCGAAGGGCCCAATGAGGCCTGAGCTGTGCTGCCCCCACGCTGGTATGGAGACGCCATCCTGCCCCAGGGACAGACCCCTGGCTGCAACGGAACACGTAAGAGCAGAAACACACGCCGTCACGCGGCTGTTTCAGAAACAAAGAGGAAAAGAACGGGCGTCCAGGGCCCAGGCCACTTCAGTCGGTCCGTGGGGTGGGGCAGAGAAGCCAAAGGAGCCCACTCAGCGGCCCTCGAGGTTAACAAATCCGGACCCGAACTCCGAGCTGGCAGGGCCTGCGAGACCTCTGCCAGGACCGAGGCCAACCCTGAGAGGCTCTGCTCCCCCCAGATCAGTAAGTGGCCACGTGGCCAACTGTGTGTCACCTAGCACACCTAAATCTGTGTCAGGGCTGAGCGGGACCAGGAGCAGCGGAGAATATTAATAGACACTGCGAAAGTTCAAGGGAAACATTTCAGAGTCCTGCCTGCAAAGCGGGCAGAGATAAATAATGGCTCTCGTTTCGTCTCTCGCTGGCGGAGACCCTCCCCCACCCCCTCCCCTGCCATGGCACAAAGCAGGCAGAACGAGCCTAGAGATTCATTCCTTCTCCGATCACAGAACACAGCTGGCCCATCCTGCCCCAGCTGGAGACCCTGGCTATGGTCAGGGTCAGCTGTCAGGACTCGGTCTGGCCTGCCCAGCCAGCAGACCCAGCACCGACCCCCATGCTCTTGGGCTGGCCAGGAGCAAGGTCAAAACTCAGCAAGCCCGCGGGAGATGAGCTTTTGCTAAGTGCCCCGGAAACCCTGAGCCAAGTTTACAACAGTTCACAGCCCCGCAGCTGGCAGGGACCCGCATGCCAACTGCCAACCACATCGACCGTTGAGGCCTGGCTGCCTCACTCTGGGGCTAGTTTCAGTGACGCAGTCCACCGGGACACAAGGAGGTGCAGCCCCTCCTCTCTGGGGAAGGGTCTTACCAGGAAGTAAAGGCAGTTTGAACGGCCTCAGCCACCCAACGCAGGCTGGGCCGCGGACAGGAGCGGGGCTGAGGGCACTCACCAAGTAGATGCGGTAGGCGTCCCCCCGGCGCAGGGGCCCCCAGCACTGGTCGGTGTCATTGTATTTGGTGTCGGCCTCCACGCCGCAGGAGTCGTTGCCAGTGGCACTGCTGTTGGAGAGAGCAAGGGGAGAGCTGGGGGCTCAGGGCCGCCTTCCTGGCTTGGCTGGGAGGAGACAGGCGCCATCCCCTCCGCAGCTGCTTCAGCGCCGTGATGTGACCCCTCACAAAGCCCCTTTCACAGCGTCTTTCAGGGAGAACCCCACTGGCTCCTGTCGCACTGTTTCCTAATGACTCAAGAGCCCTTGGCAGGAATCCCAACTATCTTCCCAGCAGGGCAGGGCTGGGACAGTGGGGCAGAGCACGGTCAGTTGTGGACTGGCCTGGAGGCACGCTTCTACCCCGACCGCTCTGCTCCTACTGGTCAAGGAAGCCCAGCACGGGGCGGGCACTCACCAGGTCACCTGCATGAGGGAGAAGGGCACTGCCGCAGCGTAGATGGCCAGGTCCCCATACAGGTAAATGATGATGCAGAAGTAGAACAAGTTGACTCCCACTGGAAGGAACAAAGCCATCAGTCAGGGAGCCCGAGACACATGTCTGCGGCCTTTTTTTGGTGACTAAATCTCCACCCCTTCCATAGCTTTCGGTTCTCCAAGCCACCTGATTTTCCACAGGAGTAGAAAAATGACCCTCAAGTCTGTCTGCTGCCTTGTCTGGCAATGCTGTGATGGTGGCAGGAGACACGTCAGCTCGTGACTGTCACCTGACAGAGGGCTCGGTGAGCCTGGAGGTCGGGCAGGTTTTGCATCCAGGCGGGTGCATGAGGAGCATGAGGCACGACTGGCCTGGGGGGAACCAGAGGGGCCTTCGTGCTGCGGTCAGGTAGCAGGGGAAGAGAGGAGAGGTGCCCGAGCCAGGAGTGGAACCCCAAGGTGTGTCGGGGCCAGGATCCCTACTGTGCAAGCATGGGGCTCTAAGCACAGCCTTCGATGGGAAGTCAGGCCCAGCTCTGCGAAGCTGAAACCAAGAGGGTAACGAGCACTTGATTTCCTTGGGGTGGATGCTTGGTGTAGTGGGCTAAGACTCAGCCTGCAGCACCAGCATCTATATGGTTCGAGTCCCGGCTGCTCCACTTCCGATCCAGCTCTCTGCTACGGCCTGGGAAAGCAGTAGAAGATGGCCCGTGTCCTTGGGCCCCTGCACCCGTGTGGGTGCTCCTGGCTTATGGCTTTGGATCAGCCCAGCTTCTGCCACTGCAGGCATCTGGGGGGTGAACCAGCGGATGGAGGGCCTCTCTCTCTCTCTGTAACTCTCCCTTTCAAATAAATAAATAAATCATTAAAAAAAAAAAAAGCCCTCAATTTCTAAAGACCAAGTGCCTCCCTCTCAGTCTGGTCCACTTCCAAGCTGGGCAGAGACAGTGCTCACGACGACCCCTCCTCCCTCCATGCCGCTGCAGCTCCCCGGCTCCAGACGCAGCCTGAGGCAGGGCCTGGGACGTGGGGCTCTTGGCCTCATTCCATCAGACCCACTCTGTGACTCCGGCAAATCCCCAGTCGTCTCTCATCCTGAGAATCCCACGTGTACCACCTCCACGTGGATTCCCGCTGTAAAGACCAGGCGCAGAAGCCCTGGAAGAAGCGGCTGGGCCTCTACAACGTGGGGGCACGGCCCAAGCGGCCAGTCTCGAACTCCCCTTCAGACTTAAGTGCTCAAGTGTTTGATGTTACTGGTCTCAAGTTGCTGGCTTCTCTGAGAGCAGGAAAAAAATGAAGTGACAGCTCCCTGCTAATCCTGTGGCTCAGAAGAGCCTGCAGGGTCCCGAGGGGCAGAGCTAGGACATGGCAGCCTGGGCCCTGTGAGGTCAGCTCTGCGCCTGGGAGTCTGGGAGGAAAAGACCAGAAAATATGATTCTTGAGAGGACCCAGGAGGGCCTTGGCCTGCTTTCTGGTCATCCTGGTGGCAGGTCCTTCCTGCCATAAGGGAGGGCCTTGACGTGCAAGCTCAGGGCCTGCATCGCTCAGGCCCCGGCGTCTCGGCCTGCCCTCCGCGAGGCGGTGGTGACCCTCCCTGCCACCTGCCAGCGGCACCAGTACCAGTGCTGCACATGAACTGCCCTGGGCCCTCAGTGACCAACACGTTCCACTGCTGGACACAGGGCGGAGGGTCAGGGCCCATCCTGAGGGGAGGCCAAGGAATGCACCTGATGCTGCTGCCCACGAGAAATGAGCGGGGCCCCGAGGGAGCCCTCCGGGGAGGGAGGCAGCCCTGCCAAAGGCGAAGGTGCCACACAGACACCTGTGTGTTAGGAAGGGAGTGGGGGGGGTCCCCGGCCCCTTCTGAGGATACACGGATATGTCTGAGCCCAGCTCCGAGCGTCGTGAACTCGGGGGTGTGACTGCGAGAGACCAGGGACGCTACAGTGCCCAGGGCGGGCTCCACAACAAAGAATGGCCTGGGCCTGGGGGTTCTTGTGGAGGAGGCGGTGGCAGCGGCTCCCGCCAAGCGGGGGCGGGGTGGGGGCTGTCCTCATGCTAGGAGCCTGGTTGGGGTCGGGGTTGGCAAATCCAAGCCACTGGTTCCTAGGATTCCTAAAGAAGCCAGGGCAGACTGCAGAACACGAGAACACGGTGTGTGTTGTCCCTTGGATGTGCCTCTTCCAGGAGGAAACCCTAAAGCCCTCCTGGCCCAACGAGGTGGGGGTGACAGACGTGAATCAAAGGAAGAGCACAGAAGCAGGCTGGCCACGGCCAGCGCAGTCCTGACGAGTTCTGGAAACCTCTGCAAGGCTGGTCCAGGAGGGAGTGCAGAGCCAGGACCTCCCCTGACGGTCACCGCCCCCTGGACCAGATGCATTGCCAACCACAGCCTGGACACTTAACCCCACCAGGGACCTTGACGAAGGGGCAGGAAACCTCCCAGGACAGCTGTGAGGGGAGGGGCCCACAGAGATCCTGACTCTGCAGCAGAGTCCGACAAGTCTGGGATCAAAAACTCTTCCTAAAGAGCTCATCTTCCAGAAGAACGAGATCTGCTAGGGGGCATCAAAGGTCGTCACTGGGCCCCCTGGGGGGACACCTTCAAATCCCAGGAAGGAGCCCACAGGGATCAGGACCAGACTGAGGGCTCTCAAGCCCACAGCAGCCCTGGGAACGGGCTCCCAGCGCCCTCTGCTGGTCACCAGGGAGTCATGGCCACGCGTGCGCACAGCAGATCCTGTCTGTCAGGTGTCGTCCCAGGCAGGAGAGGCCACGAGAAAATAGCAGTTAGAGGGACTCAAGCGAGAGGCACAGAGCTCCCGGCAGCCTCCACCGGCTGACCGCTGCCGGGGCAGGAGACAGCGTGGGCTCTCGGAGCGCGCTTTGGGAGCAAGCCCACCGGGGCTCCCCCCATCTCCTCATGGTCAGAGCACAGCCCCAGGGGGGCCTGGCTGTCCCTCCCCTGTGCCCGCCCCCGAGAACGTCTACCTTTGCTGAAGAACATGGAGGCCATCTGTCCCATCTCCACACGGTCTGTGATCTCAAAAAGGCCAGGAGAGCCACGTCTCTCTGCGAACCCACAAGAACAGGGAGATGAGATGGCTCCCCCATCGGTGCAGCTCACAGAATTCTCCAGAAGTCTGACAGCATCAAGCGTCTCACTCGCTGGAGGAAATTCTCCCAGGTCCAGGAGGGGACTCGGGGATACTCCTTGGGCTGGGAGCCCTGGCCTGGCCCGGCCGAGGGTGAGGCAGCAAGGAGAGGGTGGGAGGAGCAGAGAAGCCGGGGACCCATCCCACTCCAGTTTCCACTTTCCCAGGCATCCGGTCATGACAGTAACAGGAGAGGTGGGCAACTGAGGCACGGAGGTCAAGTAACGTGCCAGGTGGGTGGCAGAGGCAGTGGGCCAGGCCTGTGTCCTGTTTCCTCTCCCAACGGTGTCCACGGGGTGTCCACAGGGAGCCCCCCAGGGCCTTCTTGCCAGGAAAGGGAGCCCACAGACCGCAGGAAGTGCCGAGATCCCAAGACTTACGCACAGACAGGATGGGCCGTCTCTCCGCCCGCTCGTAGCTGTCCTGGGCGAGAACGTCGCTGTCTGAGGCCGTGGAGGAGTCGTCGTCTTCCTCCTCCTGAGGGTTGGGGGTGGGGAGGGGGGAGGGGGGAGGGGAAGGAGGAGAGAAGCAGTCTACAGCCACAGAAAACGCACGGCACAAGGCAAGCCCACGGCCTCTGTTCTTCCTTTCTAGGAGGTGTTGACCAGGAGGCTCTCAAACGTCCCCACTGCAGGGGCACAGTCAGCAGGGCTCCCAGGCACGAAGGTTCAGGGCTGAGCTGGCACTCGCAGGGGCGGGGGCGTGCAGCCACGACGTGGACTCGGTGGAGGCTGTGTTCACGCTCTCGGCTTGCTCTGCTCTGGGCCTCAGCCCGGGGCAAGGCTCCGGGGGGCGCTGGCGGCCAAGGTCGGCCCTGGGTACAGGACTGAGCAGAGGCACAGCTCAGGGACAGGGGCGATGCACCCACCTTGTGGCTCTCCATCCTCTTCCAGTGGAGCTGTGCGTTGGCCGCGGCCATGGCCTCGATCACGAAGGTGGTGGTCACGAAGCTGCAGGGGAGGCCGGGTGTTAACTGCCAGAGGCAGCAGCGCGGGAGACGAAGGAAAAGCGGCGGGCGGCCAGCACCGAGCATTCTCTCCTGAGTGGCTCCCTAGAGAACTTTCGAGAGGTCTCGCCTGGTAAAACGTGTGCATGTGCACACCCGACGGCTTGTGCGCGGACTATTTCCCATGCATGGGAGAGGTTACAGAGAAACAAGCCGATGCGAGGGAGTGAGCTGGGGGCAGCGAGAGGTGACACGGGGACAGGACGCAGGGTCTGCTGGGGACAGACAGGACATGAGGCTCTGAGCTGCTGGAGGAGGCGGTTCCCAAAGGGCCCCCACGGCTTCTGTAAGGACGGCGGGCAGCTCTCCTGTCCTTGCTAGGACACAGACAGGCGGTCGGCTCCGGATCGCATCCACAGACGGACGGAGCGCGGGCACGGGTAATTGAAAAGGAAACTTGGCGCGGGCAGGGCTTTTACCTTCCGGATTCTCTGGCTCTGAGTAACAGGAGCCCCAATCAAGAGGGGCACTGGGAGAGGGGACCAGACGCTCGCCTGGAAGTCGACTAGAGGGGAAAAGTCACCTTTGGCTTTCCTTTGGGAGAACCTCAGCGGGAGACGCAGGGGCAGGCTGCAAGACCTGAGCCAGGAATCCAAGCCGGCCACGACACTGGGGATGAGCCTTTGTGTGTCTCTTTCCTGAGGTCAGCAGGGTGCCTGCCTGGACCGCCCTCCTAGAGGGCTGACCCCTGCTCCTGGCCACCTCCACAGTCAGGTGGCTGCAGCAAGGAGCCACAACCAAGCCCCCTCTGGTGGGGGAGGGGAGCCAGCCCTGGAACTCCCACTCCCTCCGCCCCCAGCGCCGCTGAGAGGTTTCTCATTATCTTGCTTAAGTGACCATTTTCAGGGCTTTAGCTTTTCCCTTCTCTTTGGAAGTAAAACTAAAATCCATCTTAATTAAGGCATCAAGAGACTGCTCGGGGCTGCAGAGAACCAACTCGTTGATCATGTTCAACAGGGATGAGCTGCGTGAGGAGGGGCTGCGACAGGGGCGCCCAGGAACCACCCCCCGCTCGGTGGCTGCCGCGAAGGTCCTTTAAAGGGGACTCCCAGAGCTCTCGGCAGCCAGGGCTTGCAGGCCACCAGCAGCCCGCACCCCAGGGCCACTCCAGCGCCTCACACAAGAACCTGGAAACCACAGCCTCCTCCGGGCTCAGCTTCCCTGGCGCCTTCCTCCTGCCCTCCACGGCCCGGCCACGCTGCTCGAAACTGAGTCACCCCTGCCCTGCACCCTGCCCCGCACTTTCTTTTTTCCCACGTGACTCATCGCCTTCCACTGCTTCCTAACTACCTGCTGGTCTCCCCACAACATAAACTCAGCTTTGCCCGGGCAGGGATCCGTCTGTACCGTGAGGCACACTGGTCACTGGGAGGCACAGAGCCGCGCCGCCCCTTGCTCCCGGGGGAGGAGCTCTGGGAGTGTCTCCAGGCATTCCTTTCTCCCTCTTTGCTGCAGACCTGGCTTGGCTAGGGGGCCTGGGAGCACCTGGCCTGCAGTACTTGCAAAACTATCTCAGACCCACACGTGGAAGCCCTCAGAGTGACCTCGAGTGGAACTGAGCCCTCCCCCCCATACAAGGCACCTGCTGGTGACTCCCACACACCTGGCTCAAGAAGCAGGCGCCCCGAAGGTGTGGGGAGGCCCCAGGCGGGTGAGGTCATTCACCACTGATGCTTGCTTTGTGACTCACCGCAAGCAAATCCTGAGTCACAAAATGACTCCTTTATCACCTAAATCGTGGGTCAGAGTCTTTCTCCGTGGCTAGGTGGGATTTTTCTCAGTGAGCAGAACCAGAAAGCTCACAGCATAGACAGCACAGAGCAGCCAGCGTGCGGCCCACACTCTCCAGGCCTATCAGATGTCTGAGTTTCTATCTGCTTCAGTTGTGCCACTGCCCGGCCAGCAGACACCGCAGGAACTCTGTATCTGCCCTCCTGCGCCCGGTCACCCTGGAGACAGACACCTCCCACCCCTCAAGCACCCACCTGTTCAGAAAGAGATCGGGCACCCCAGGCCCCTGCGACAGCCTCCCCCAGCCTCTTACCTCATGAAGCCCAGGAACAGCAGCAGGAGGAGGCTGACCAGCCACCCGGCCGTGGCGAAGGCCTTGGGCATGGTGAGCGCGCCCGTGCCCACGATGAGGTTAAACATGTACACCTGCCCCACCTGGAAGCAACAGGAAGGACATTCAAGCCCAGAAACAGACTGGCTTCTGCCCCAGCAGCTCCCAGGGACCGCCCTGGGAGACAGCGCCACCGGGGAGGCCACAGCTGGCGCTCAGGTAGGGAGGCAGGAGAGAAGGGAGAACCGCACCTGGACCCTATGGGGCCGGCCCAGCGGCCAGGTGTCGGGCAGCCAAACACCAGCTCCTGGACGGTCTCCGAGGGCCAGCCTGGGTCTGCAACTCCTGTCATCCCTGCCACCCGCCAAGCATCTGTGATTGTTCAAACCCTCACCACAGGTGTTAGTGCTCAACCGCACACCTCCTGGGGACACAGCCAGGCATGAGGGTGCCCGGAACACACACCTCAAAGGAACTCCCAGGTTTCCAAGACAGCTGAGCTCCACCCACCCACCCTTGCGGCTGTCCTCCGGGACACTGATATTTGCACTGCGCTTTTCCTAGCCACCGCCCCGTACCAACATCAGGGAGTTTTTTGAAAAAAAGAAAAAAATCACTCATGTACCATAAAACGCACCCTTTAAATTCAGTGGGTTTTACTACTGTCAACATGCGTGGGCAGTCACCCCCAAGGAAACCCCACTGCCATTAGCAGCAAGTCCCCTCCAGCCGCAGCCAACCCTGCGGTGGCCCGTCGGGCTGCTGCTGGGGGATCCCGGCTCTGCTCCCACTGCAGCCACCTTGCCTCCTGCCCGGTCTGGCACACTCATTCCCCTCTCAGGATCTCCACCGTGGACCCTGCTCTGTCACGAGGCGCTCCCCTTCCCCAGGTGGGCATCACTTAGTTTTTGTTTTTAAAGTTTTATCTATTTGAGAGGCAGAGTGGGGAGGGGGAGGGGAGGGGAGGGGGAGGGGGAGGGGGAGGGGAGGGGGAGGCTCCAGGCTCCTGGTTTCAGTACCATTCTGAGCCCCACCCGCTGGTCCCACTGAGCATGCCCCACCTGCCTCTTCCTCCCCAACCCTACTGGAAACCCAGGCTCCGCGGAGGCCCAGCACCTGCGCTCCTCCGCTCCCTGGGGCAGGTCCCGCAACAAAGGGCTCCTTCACCTAGGGGAGCAGCAGGAGCTCCCTGTTCCTCAAGGGGACGCCCTGGCATTTCCCACAGTGACAGCTCCGAACCTCATTCTTCAAAGCCCCAGGCCTGCGGTCCCCAGCACTCGGAGGTGAAGGCTCCATTTCCTACTTTATGGGGGGCACTGGGCCGTCTGATGTGCACCCAAAGTCTCACTCCTTCCTGGCTCCAAAAATCGGTGTCTTCGAGGTGGGCATTGCGGTGCCACGGGTTAAGCTGCCACATGGGGTGCCTGCGTCCCACACTGGGCGCCTGGCTGGAGCCCGGGCTACTGTGCTTCCGATCCAGCTTCTGGCCAGTGCATCCTGGGAGGCAGCGGATGACGGCTCAAGTGCTTGGGAGGCCTGAATGGAGGTCTGGCTCCCGGCTCTGGCTTGGCCCAGCCCTGCCTATTGCAGGCATTTGGGCAGTGACCCAGTAAATGGAAGACCTCTCTGCCCTTCAAGTAGATAAAAATAAATAATAAAAAATTAAAAATCAACAAAAATGGGTGTCTTCATCCTTGCTGCCTGCCTTTGTGGAGAGCACGTCCTTGTTCCTGGAGGAGGCTATGACTTGCACTTGGACTTCTGGGTCCATCCCATCCTGCTGGATTCTCTCTTCCCTCTGGCTCCCTCCTCTGCATACAAACTGCCTTGAGCCATTTAAAATATGATCCCACCTCCCCTTTGTAAACTCACCCACAACACATGCTGCCTTCATCTCCAAGTCCCCACACTTCATTTTTCTGCCCCAGGACTTTTTTTCTTCTTATTTTTTTGACAGGCAGAGTAGACAGTGAGAGAGAGACAGAGAGAAAGGTCTTCCTTTACCGTTGGTTCACCCTCCAATGGCTGCCGTGGCCGGTGCGCTGTGACCGGCGCATCGGGCTGATCCGAACCCAGGAGCCAGGTGCTTCTCCTGGTCTCCCATGGGGTGCAGGGCCCAAGCACTTGGGCCATCCTCCACTGCACTCCCTGGCCACAGCAGAGAGCTGGCCTGGAAGAGGGGCAACCGGGACAGAATCCGGCGCCCCGACCGGGACTAGAACCCGGTGTGCCGGTGCTGCAGGATTAGCCTATTGAGCCACGGTGCTGGCCAGGACTTTTTTTTTTAAGATTTATTTTTTATTTATTTGAAAAGCAGAGATACAGATGGAGGAGGAAACAGAATGAGAGAGAATTTTCATCCATGGTTCACTCCCCAAATGGCTGAAACGGCAGGGACTGGGTCAGGCTGAAGCCAGGAGGCTCCTCCGGGTCTCCCACATGGATGTGGGGGCCCAAGCCCTTGGGCCATCCTCCACCTCTTTCCCAGGCCATTAGCAGGGAGCGGGATTGAAAGCGGAGGAGCTGAGCCTCAAACCAGCGCCCACATGGAATGCCAGTGGTGCAGGCAGAGGCTTAACCTGCTGTGCCACAGCGCTGGCTGCCCCCGCTCCACTCTTAAAAATCATCAATGACCTCCTGTTTGTCAAACCCAGTGGGTTTCTCAGTCTTTATTATCTTCCTCTCACTCTGCCATTAGCGGACTCTCTTCAACCACTTTTCCATGGCACCCAGCCTGGCCCTCTGGCTATAACTACCCCAGCCGGACAGAAATGACTGAGTTTATTACAGCACCAACCCCTCTGCCGACCTCAGGCGCACCGCCGGCTCGTCTCCTCCGCTTGAACAGCCCTCTAGTGGCCTCCTTCCCGCCCCTCCACATCCCAGTGCCACTCAGTCTTCCCTGGCCGCCCCCGGCTCCTGTTCCTCTTCACAGTGCCAGCGAATCTCCCAGCCTGGAGACCGCGGTTGACTCCCACTTGCTCTTCCTGTATGCTAAACGGGTTGACTCAGCGTTTGCTTTACCGCCTGTTTCTGTTCGTTTAAAAACAACAAACACTGACTCTCTGGCAATGCCCACCCATGTCTCATTTTTCACTTCCCATTCTTAGAAAGATGCACTTTTCTATATTTTTTTGATGTTTCTAAGATATGCATGTGCTGAACTGGTGATCAAACACACAAAGTGAGGCCACTTTTCCCAGCCTCAATCAGATTATTTTAAGCATGAAGAGGCAGAGAGAGTGACTGTCAACCACGACCCTGGGGCCTAGCTGGGGAGGATGGAGGGACAGGGTGATGACCAGAGAGAGACCGGCTTTGGGGCTAGTGTTGTGGCACAGCAGGTAACACCGCCGTTTGCAATGCCAAATCCCATATTGGAGCGCTGCTTTGAGTCCCAGTGGCTCGGTTTCTGACCCACCTTCTTGCTAATGTGCCTGGGAAAGCAGCAGATGGCCGAAGCACTTGCTACTTACAAGGGAGACCAAGATGGGGCTCCAGGCCTCAGCCCCAGCCCTGGCCATTGTGGCCACTGGGGGAGTGAAGCAGTGGATGGAAGACCTCTCTCTCTCTGTCACTCACTCTGCCTTTCAAACAAATACAGAAATCTTTTTTCTTTTTTTTTTAATTTTTGACAGTCAGAGTGGAAAGTGAGAGAGAGAGAGAGAGAGAAAGGTCTTCCTTTGCTGTTGGTTCACCCTCCAATGGCCGCCGCGGCTGGCGCACTGCAGCTGGCGCACCGCGCTGATCCGATGGCAGGAGCCAGGTACTTATCCTGGTCTCCCATGGGGTGCAGGGCCCAAGCACTTGGGCCATCCTCCACTGCACTCCCTGGCCACAGCAGAGATCTGGTCCAAATACAGAAATCTTAAGAGAGAGACACAGAGAGAGAGGGCAGGCTTCCCATCTGCATGCTGGATGGGGTGGGGGGACTTCCTCTTGACAAGAGACAGTTCTGCCCACAGCACATTTACCCTTGCACAGGGCACCAAGCCCTCCTCCATCTCCTTTCCAACCCCTCAACTCTCACCCAGGCCTTAGGCTCCATCCAAATGCTCTAGCCACTACAAAGCCCTTCCCAGTCTCCCAAATTTATCTTGCTTCAAACTTTCGAATTCTTATTCCAGGGCCAGCGCTGCGGCGTAGCAGGTAAAGCCACTGCTAGTGTCCCACACGGGCACCGGTCTGAATACTGGCTGCTCCACTTCTGATCCAGTTCTCTGCTAATGCTCCTGGGAAAGCAGGGGGCTGGCCCAAGTGCTTGGGCCACTGCCTGTCACCCATGTGAGAGACCCGGATGAAGCTCCTGGCTCCTGGCTTTGGCCTGGCTCAGCCCTGGCTGTTGTAGCCATTTGGGGGGTGAACCAGTAGATGGAAGATCTCTCTCTCAATCTCTGTCTCTCCCTCTCTATAGCTCTGCCTTTCAAAAATAAAATAAATCTTTAAAAAAATACAGCAAGTAAATAAATCTTTTTTGTTTTTTTTTTTTTACAAAGATTTATTTATTTATTTGAAAGAGTTACAGGAAGGCAGGGACATAGAGACAGAGAGGTCTTCCATCTGCTGGTTCACTCCCCAGATGGCCACAATAGCCAGAGCTGGGCCAATTCGAAACCAGGAGCTTCTTCTGGGTCTCCCATGTGGATGCAGGGCCCAAGGACTTAGGCCATCTTCTACTGCTTTCCCAGGCCATAGCAGAGAGCTGGATTGGAAGTGGAGCAGCCAGGACTTGAACTGGTACCCGTATGGGATGCCGGCACTGCAGGTGGCAGCTTTAACCACTACACCACAGTGCTGGCCCCAATAAAGAAATCTTAAATCAATTTAAACAAAGACTTCTTATTCCCCACTTGGGTTTCAGACGCTGGTAGAGGAGGCCCCATAGCCCTGGGCTATGTGTCCACAAAGTCACACAACCATGGATAAAACACGTTAAAAAAAAAAAAAGGTGAACAGTAGCCTTTGTCCTTGTCATGATTTCCTAAACAATGTAAGGATCACATACATGGCATTTACAGTTGTCAGGCAGTCCACAGGTGATGTGAAGGATACAAGAGGATGTGTGGGAGGTTACATGCAAATGTTATGCCACTTTATAAGGGCC